TTCATTGTTCAGATCTGAGTTCAAATGTTACCTGTTTAGAGAACTCTTCCTTGGATCTCTTGACGAGCGATGGTCCCGCAGCTCCAAATCCGCCATTGTATTCTGCACTGCGGTGCTGGGGCTGGAACTCTGCAAACTACATTTCTTTTCCCAGCTGACTTTCCTGTTAGGTTCAACAATAGGTTGTATTAGACCACAAGGAGCTTTGCAAGCGAAGAGAGGGAAGAAAGGACTTGTGTTCCTTCCTGTTTATTTTTGTTTCTGTCACTGTTCTCTGGCAACAGCAACTGGTTCTAGACTTTTTTTTTTGTGCTCTCAGAATCAACACCTGGGCAGTGCCCTCTCCTTAGAGGGTTGAGTCCTCTCTCCAAAGGGTCCAACCTCTGAGCTTCTGGACTCTAATTATAGTATGCTGACTTCTTCTGCCTATCTCCCCAACCCTAGTTGTTGTAGCTACTTCCTGTAGTTGTTATGTCTGGCATCTTGATGTTTTCTTTGTGCTTTTCCAGGTATCCAACACCTATTTAACTTACTCCCACATCCAAGTCTCTTTGTGTGATTTCTGCCTTTTTCAATGGCTGGACCCCGACACAATAATGGAACATGATTTAGGCCTCCACCCACTTATTCTGCAACGTATCATTGCAATTCTTCATAGACTTCTCAGAACCTGTATTTCCAAAAATATTTTGTTTTGCTTTCTCATAATATGTCTTCTCCAGTTGGATATCAGTCTTTGCGTCATCACTGTATCCTCTGCCTTGCACAGAGACTGGCATACTACTGTAGAACCTAATAAATGCTTGTCTAATGAATGATTGAATTATTACAAAAGGCTACAGGAGAACTATTGGTAACTGACCATAAAAAATTGGCCAGAATTGAGCAATTATTTACCATTTTGGGTCTAGGCCAAGTTACTGGTGAACTCTGTAACAATGTACCTTTCTGTCATGGAGTCAGGCTTATTATTTTTTATAGGCATCTTAAAATACAGTGTATTATTTAACTTGAATTCATCATCACCGAAATAATAAGCTACATAGTTTATCTGCTTTGAATCCTGCACTTACATTCTGCACCTCCCCTTTCTATAATTGGGAATAATAGTGACTTACCTTGTTAGGGTTTCATGAAGATCAAGAGTTTGTTATGGGTTACAGCCACAAAGTTTTGTTGGCAAATAATTTTAAAAATGAAAGCCATCCAAAGAATCCACTTGCTATAATATGCAATACCACTTAATAGCATTTACTTGGTAAACTCAATCCATTTACATTTTTTTTTATTGTGTGATATGGTTTAAAACACCCCATACATTGAACCAAAAAAGCAGGTTAAAAAAAAACTGCCTAACTTCAATACAGCTATAAGCAAGAATCTAAAATCATCTTCTATAGTCTTTTATTTTAATATTATCTATTAAAAACAAAGAATATAATACATCATATATGTGTAATTCTAAATTAATTTTGGTCAAATAAATGCAAATAGATTAGATGGCACTGAGACTTCCACTGTGTCAATAAGAACTATTTCATTGAACCTTAACTTTTTTTTTAAATTTCTTTTTTTAAAGAGTTTATTTATTTAGTTTTAGAGAGAGGGGAATGGAAGGAGAGAGGGGGAGAGAAACATCAATGTGTGGTTGCCTCTCACATGCCCCCTGCTGGGGACCTGGCCTGCAACTCAGGCATGTGCCCTGATGGGGAATTGAACCTTGACCCTTTGGCTCTCAGGCTCAGGCTCAATCCACTGAGTTTACCTCACTCCACTGGCGAACCTTAACTTTTAAGTTAAATGTGAGAAAAAAACATAAATTCAATGAGAGAATGTAGTTATCAATGATAAGGGGCTAATTTCTAAAATATATAAACATATGCTACTCAATACCAAGAAGACAAACACCCAATTAAAAAATGAACAAGGACCTAAATAGACACTTCTCCAAAGAGGACATACAGATGGCCAATAGACATATGAAAAAATGCTCAACGTCACTAATCATCAGAGAAAAATTAAAAATGGAACTGTCTTATGACCCAGTGATCCCACTTCAGGAAATATATTGGAAGAAACCTGAAATACTAATTTGAAAGAGTACTCGTATATGCACCCCTATGTTCATTTGCAGTGTTATTTACAATAGCTGAGATCTGGAAACAGCCCAAGTACCCATCAGTAGATAAGTGGGCAAAAAAACTGTAGTACATTTACACAGTCACAAAAAAGAAAGGAACTTTTACCTTTTGCAACAGCATGGATGGCCCTGGAGATTATTATTCCAAGTGGAATAAGCCAGTCAGGGAAAGACAAATATATGATCTCATTTATATGTGGAATCTAATGAACAAAATAAACTGATGAGCAAAGTAGAAACAGAGGCATAGATACATGGAACAGACTGACAGCTGTCAGAAGGGTGGGGGGTTGGATGAAAGAACATAAAGGGATTGAGCAAAAAAAATGTTTGTGTGTGTGTGTGTGTGTGTGTGTGTGTGTGTGTCACACAGACACAGACAGCAGTGTGGTGAAAGCCGGAGGGAAAGGAGGGGAGGGGTGGAGGTGGAGGTGGGTGAAGGGTGGGAAGATGGGGATGGAGAGACTGCTTGGGGCGATGGGCCCATGATGCAGTATGCAGATGTTTTGTTGAGTTGTACAATGGACACCTGTGCGGTTTTATGAACCGATGTCACCCCAATAAATTCAACTAAAAAATAAATAAATAGCCTGACTGGTGTGGCCCAGTTGGTTGGCATTGTCCCACAAAGTGAAAGGTCGCCAGCTCGATTCCTAGTCAGGGCACATGCCTGGGTTGTGGGTTTGGTCCCTGGTCAGGGAGCACACGAGCAGCAGCTGATCAATGTTTCTCTCCCTTTCTCCCTCCCTTCCCCTCTCTCTAAAAACTAACTAAAAAACATTAAAAATAATGTTGTATCTATTACAGATATGTTTATATTTCCCCTTTTCTAACTCAGAAGGAAAAATGTTTCTTTTCCTCTTTAGGCACCAGGTTCCTTAAATCCAGCCTTTCCTTCCCCTCTTTCTCCATCTGGGGACTTACTCTTGCATTTTTAATATGCCCGCTACTGTTTCTTTTTTCATAAAGCCCACAAACAAAAATGTTTCATCCATCTTGTTATCAGTTCAAACTATCATCTTGTGTCTATCTTTCTTATGCACAAGTTCCAAAGCATTTATATTCATGGTTTCTATTTTGCAATCTGGCTTTTGCCCTCAGCCCATTATTGAAATTGCCCTCTTGTAGCTCAGGAATGATTGCCGAATCAGTAAGTCTTCCTGAACCTTCATCTTTCTTGACATTTCTGTACATTTTTTGATTTTCTTTCCTTTTGGAAGCTCTCCTTGGTTTTGGAACACTGCTCTACCTGGTTTCTTCTCTTCTGCAGAATCCTCCTCCTTTCATTCCACTCATGGACTTTTCTCTCCAATGCTCCAAATGAAGATGCTCCCTCTGGCCCTGACCTCTTCTCTGCCAGTTTTCTGTTGCTATCGCTTAGTGTTTGAGTGTGGACTCTGAAGCCAGATTGCTAAGTTTGAATCTTGGCTCCTCCTCTTACTAGCTGTGTGACCATGCACAAGTTGCTTAACTTCTCTTCCTGTGCCTTAATTTCCTCATCTGTAGTATAGAAATAATAATCCTTACAGGGTTGTTGTGAAAATCAAACAGATGAAAAGTGCTGGACATAGAGTAAGCTCTATATAATGTATTTCACTGGACAAATATTTACTGATGCCTGCATTTAGATACCAAGAAATCTAAGGACTAGTGAATAATATACGTGAATAAAGTAAACAAAAACTCTGATGCTCATAGAGCTTACATTTTGTAATAAAAATAATTATTATTAACTGTCCATAGTTCTCTATTTCTGGAATGCCCTTCTTCCTGCATCATCTTTAAAACTGCACACTTCCTTTAAGGCCCACTAAAATGTCATCTTATCCCTTGAAATCTCACCTTGTAGAAGGTTATCATTTGAACTCTTCCAACTCTTTACATCTGAATTTTGTAATTTATTACATTCTACACACTGTACTATGAATTTTCAAGTATCAAACATATCAAATATTATGGTTACTTGCAAATGTTTTTATCATCTTCCTCGAATGAGTTTAATGTTAGCTACTGTCTCTATCCATCTTTGTAAACAGTAGCACGATATGCCTTGTACCCAAACGCATATTAGATGATCACTAAATATTTTTGGAATGAATGTGGGTAAAGCACTGTTCATGACCTTTCACTTGACCTCTGTTAACTAACCTTATCTTCTTTAATTGCAAATATAAAAAAACTTAAAATACAGAACATCTTATTTTTCAACTCTGGAAATATCAAGTATTAGTATCGAGCATTTGTTGTTTACAACTTGGCTTTATTCACCACCGTCACCTGGCGCCGTGTCACTAGGAGTCCGGTATCTGTCGCTCGCTTTACTTGGTGTGCCCTGCAGCAGAGTCAGTGCCCCCTGCCATCACCATTTGAAAAGCGCTCCTGAATTTTTATTAAGGAAGCCCTAGGGATGGAGTGTGTTTAATTGGTTGTGTTTTCTGTGATCAGCACAGAGTTCTCCCATTTCTCACTTCGTTTCTAACATGATCGAGAAATTTCTAGGTACTCATCTGAAATTTTCTGGTTCAGAGATGTTTGGAATTTGTTTTTATGACATCTAAAATAAGATTTTAGTTTCATCCTCCTAAATTATCAACTATCTTTCCTCTAAATTTGCTTGTGATTCCCCAGCTATGACTGGAAAGCGCAGACCAACTGCAGGTTCTCGACCGTTTTCTGATCTGTGTTGCCGCAGTTCTCCAGAGCACGATCCTGCAGTAGAATACAGTTCTACCACATTAGCGATCTCCTTCATACCACTTGACCTTGCTAAGTCATCTTAAATATGCCTTCTTTCCAGGCAGAACCTGGCCAGGATGCGTGACAATGTTCTCTTTTTTAATAACAAGGCCAACACCATGGATTTTTATATAATGATCAAGGATTTTTTTATTCATTAAGTTTCAGTATCATTACAGAAAATGTTATAGTACAGAGTTGTTTAACATTATTTTTTCTTTGCTCTTGATTTCCACATGAATGCTGGTAACACTAATATCTGTACAAGATCAGTCTTTGATTTTATTTTTTTGTTCTGTACAATTTTAAATGTATTGGTTAAAAAGGCTGTCAGCACTTAAGGAAGCATTTTTCCCCCAGTTTGTTTGTTCAAAGAAAAGGTATCCAGTTACTGCCCAAGAGGACTGTGCCATGAGGCTGCTGGGGCGAGAAACTTCCCCGGAAGCTCTGTGAGGGGTGGTGCTCCTGGAGGCAGGGCGGCCGCCCCCGTCACTCTTCTTTTGGCACTGTGCACATAAACACGAGATACATGATAAAGAACAAGCAAAAGCTCTCTGTAAAGCGGTTATGAAGCATACTAAGAAGGGAAATCCAAGTGTTGCCTACACTAGTATAAATAAGCAGACAGCCTTGATTTAAGAGCATAAGTAGTTGTTTAAAGATGAGAAAAACACAAGTTCTGCAGGCACCTACTGCTGTCTACTAAAAGCTATTGCTATCAGACCTAGCATTGAACACACAAAGCGATTGCGAGAAAGGAAAAATCTGCTTTGATATAATCAGAATAGAGTTGTCTGTTAAGATTTATTTTTAGGTGTTTTTTCTTTAAAAGGTATTTAAATTCTTTTGAAATATAGTTCAAGATGTTGACTATACAGATCAACTTTTATCCAAATCAGAAAAACTAGCTGTGCCGTTGCATATTACAGGGTACAGTCAATGATATGTGGGCATGCATCGAAGCTTCTCCTCGGCGGCCATCATAGCCGTCCGATGACCATGACGTCCACCACCTCGCCCTTGTGGAGCTCCACGTACTGCTCTGTCTTTGGAGGTAGCATCAACAGTCCATTGGCGCTGCGCATGCTCATCAGACGGCTGCTCATCTGATTACCTAGAAAGAAATACTCTCATTACAGCAGCCTCGGCATCACAGTGGATACATCCAGAGCCCTTGTCGTTCTTTCCAAAGTAAGAACCCATAAACAGAAACACAGGTCTTTGAGAGGAAGAGAGATGGTCAGACTTCCCAGTACTTTTTTTAGGTAGCCTTGCTGCTGTATCCTACAACCTCCCCACTAAACTATAAAAATAACAATAGAAATTACTGCTTATAAGAATAAAACCAGGATTTTGTAGCATTATGCAAATGCCACAGACTTTCTCTCTTCAGGCTGAAATGTTATGTGTGTCTGAAAACAGAAGCTTTTAAAAACCTATTAAAATAATAATGATGATAATAGCAGCAACTACCATTTCCTTCGTAGTATTTACTCAGTGGCAGACAAGGTGGTAGGCAAGTTACTTAACAATCTTATTTAATTCTTATTCTCACAAGACTCAAAAGAGTTGAAGTAACTTGCTTAGGGTCCTACTAACTACTTGGTGGTGAATTTGAGTTCAAGTCTCTGAGACGGCAAGGCCCATGCACTTAGTCAGGTGTTAGTTGATATCTGCACTTGAGAGGACGCTTGTTTAAGGGGCAATATGGTTTTACTAGAGTCACACAGAAGTTAGGTAAAATATGACTAGGGAAGCTGGGGATAAAAGTTTAAAGGTTAGAGGAGGTAACTATGGCACTCCAAATTATCAATACTGACTTCTCAGTCCTTAAATCTTACCAACATCTAGGGTACTAGTGGCTATAGAGAATCACATAATTAGGCTTTGATCTCCCATTTCAGGGTGGCTTAGCCACAATCCTTCATTTTCCTACAAAGTCGTACTCAGAACTTATTGGCTGAACAAACAGATAAAAATCTTTAGTAATTCTAGATTTGTATTTCAAATGCTTATCTAGAAAGCCTGGCTCCATGGAATAACAAAACCTTTATGATTATTATTACTTTTGTTGTCCTGTTATGCTATACTGTTTAGGAAAATTTCAGGCATCACATCTTTCCAAAAGGAAAATGTATAATAATTCCAAATTAGCTTTACCTAAGGGAGGAGGTTATATACAAGGTCTGTCTGGAAAAAGTCCAGCCATTGTTAATATAATGAGAATGGTTTGCATGACACCGATGTAACCTGGCAGCCAAGGAGAATGGACTGGAATGCACATGTGTGAACAATGACAACTTCACTGTACTACTCAGTGGGGGTGGTAGATGCTGTTGAGTGAGCATGTGTACTGTGTGGCTGTTGCATTCAAAATGCCTGAGCCAGTACAGCAATGAATCTGCATCAAATTATGTGTCAAGCTTAAACATTCCTCCATGGAAACTATTCAGATGATTCAGAAAGCCACAGCTATGGGCAACTGGTGACTGGCAGCTTCATTACGACAATGTGCCTGCTCATGCATCATGTGACATGCAGAGTTTTTTTTGGCAAAACATCAAATCTCTCAGGTGACTCAGCCTCTTTACAGCCCAGATTTGGTGCCCTATGACTTCTGTCTTTTCCCAAAATTAAAATCACCTTTGAAAGGGAAGAGATTTCAGAAAATTGATGAGATTCAGGAAAATATGAAAGGGCAGCTGATGGCAACTGGGAGAACTGTGTGAGGTCCCAAGGTGCCTACTTTCAATGGGACTGAGGCATCATTGTCCTATGCACAGTGTTTCTTATATCTTGTATCATCTTCAGTGAATATCTCTATTTTTCATATTACGTGGCTGGACACCTTCTGGACAGACCTCTTATATAAATGAGTGTTTCAGAGGGATTGGTGCACAGACATACCTGCAGTTGTGAATGACTAACCTGTACTCTGTGCCCAAGGCAGTGGTTCTTGGTGATGCCAAGTCAGTATACACCGATGGTATTCTGGGCGAGGATCCAGTTTTACGTCACATGATAACTACAGAATAAAAGGGAAGATAAAACAAATTTGATCACTTGACCATTTTTAAAACTACAGGGTAGTGGAGGCTGTGCAAAGAATACAGTGGGAATGGAAAACAGTGAATATCTGTCTCTACTGCTGCCACCCTATCTTCTTAACACAGAAGTCCAGAGTTGCTCTGATGAAAAGAGCCCAGAAGCTGGTTCTCACAGTGGTGGAAAAGGCAGACGAAAAAGATAAGGTCTATTTTTGACGTGTAATACTATGGGTTGTGAGGACAGGTACTTCTGACCTCTGAATCCAAAAATTTTAACAATTGAAAATAAAGGAAGCAGATCTAAACAAACAAAAAACCCAACCAAGATCTATATCCATTTATCTGTATGTCCATCTATCTGTCCACCCATCCATATATCCAGTAAGTATTTACTGAGGTGCTGTTCAGCTACCCATTCACACACCTATCCCTGACGTAAATGGGAGAGCTTCTTTCTTTTTCTCTTGAATACTTCCCTAATGTCCCAACACTGGTATATAAGCTCATTAAGGCAACTAAAAGTAGTCCCTACTAAAAGTTTTGGTTTAGCCACATCACTGGTAATGAAAGAATCCCTCTGAATGAGTCTTTGCTATGAAATTACATCTTTTGTATTCTCCTAATAAGGATAAAGTCCTTTCTATCATAGCAACTTCAGTTCACACACATGACATAGAATGGCCAATCAACCTTTAACCTGAAGCCATTGTCTTTTAAATCTGTTACTAAATTCACACTGAAATCTGACAAGTTAATGTGTTAATTTGTTAGTAGTAGGTGCCTAAAAGGTAATCTTTCAACAAGTTTATACAATATCTAATTATGGACACTTACTCTACCTTAAAATGATCTAGAAAGGTTTTATTCAACTAACACAGATATTGCTTAGATCAAATGATACAGTTAAAACTGGAACTTTTGATTCAAGTAAGTCTGTCTTCAATCCACTTTGTTTATTATGCTTTTAAGCATTCTAATCATTCACTCTGACAATTCATCCTTTTCCCCTGGAATCCAGAATAAAATTTAATTCTAGGGTGTTTTCTTTGATTAAATCACACTCTTCTCTTTCACTTAATCTTGCTTATGTTTATATTCTATTTCATATGTATTGGAGGTTAATTTTACATTATTCCTAAATTATTTTGTGCTTACCTGAGGGAAAAATCTCTTTCAATCTGTGTGTGTGTGTGTGTGTTCTCCAGTACTGGACTATAAGAGCTAGTCACATGGCTGTGTGACTTGCTAAGTGTGTAAGCAAGGTTTCCCCGAACAATGCGCTGATTGGCTGGTGGTAGTACAGTGGACCAAATGTTGGAATGAGATGATATCTGACACTGAGGTTCTGCTTCCAGGTTTACTGCTAACTGGTGGCTGTATTAGCTGGTTATTTAGTTTTCCTAGGCAGGTTTGTTTATCCACAAAAAGAGGTTGTTTGTTTCAAAGGAGATATTTAAATTAACTTAAGGAACAAGAATCACTTGCATCAAATTGACGTGAATTAGTTTTTTTCACAGCTTCACAAACAGCTGTTCCTTTTGCAGCAAAAGATAAACTGATTAGATTTTATGGTATTTCATTGAAATGCAGGATGCTTTATTAACCAATATGTTTAGTCATACTGACACTATTGTGCTGGTATATTACTTACACCACTTAAGCTTAAGAAAGCACCTATTCACTATGAGCTTCAATGCTTGCAAGAATGATGTTCCATGAATAAACACAACTTCTGGTGAAAAAGCATTGTGAGTGGTTGGTGTTTCACTTCTGATGACTTCTACTCATTTGAAATGGGCAGTGGGCTGTGGACGAGGACTGTTTCCTGTGTTACCTTGGCATATTTTCCTGACGCACAGTAGTCATTCAAGGCATGAAATTTATTACTTAGTGTAGTATTATATGATATGTTGTATGTATAAAGGTCTAAGGGAAACAATTGGGAAAAAAAGGTCAAAAGAATCAGAAGATAAGCCACAGACTGGGAAAAAATATTTGCAAAAGGCCTTTCTGATAAAGGCCTGTGATCTAAAATATACAAAGAATTCATAAAACTCAAGCAGAAGAGGAACAACACAATTAAAAAATGGGCAAAAGAACCTGAACAGATTCCTCACCAAAGAAGATATATACATAGGTAGATAAGCATATGAAAAGGTGTTCACCATCATACCTCATTAGGAAATTGCAAATTAAAACAACAATGAGATATCACTACACACCTACTAAAAAGACCAAAATCCAAAACACTGGCCACACCAAACCCTGTGAAGAATGTGGAGGGACAGGACCTCCGTCACAGCTGGTAGCAGTGCAAAACGGTACGGCCACTTTGGAGAACAGTTTGGCACTTTCTTATGACAAAAAACATACTTTTACCATACAATCCAGTAATTGTGCTCCTTGGTGTGTAGCCAATGAACCAAACATTTCTGTCTAAACGTATACACTAATATTTATAGCAGCTTTACTCATACCTGCCAAAAGTTGGAAGCAACCAAGATGTCCTTCAGTAAGTGAATGGATAAAGAAATGGTGATACATCTAGACGATGGCATATTATTTAGCATGAAAAGAAATGAGCTACCAAGCCATTCAAAGACATGAAGAATCTCAAATGTGTATCATCACTAAGTGAAAGAAGCCAATGTGAAAAGGCTACATACTGTATGATTCCAACTATATCACATTCTGGAAAAGGTAAAACTGGGGAGACAGAAGATCAAGGGTTAGTGGGGAGGGAGGGATGAATAGGCAAAACATAGAAGGTTTTTAGGACAGTGAGACTATGCCGTAGGATACTATAAAGACAGATACATGTAATTATACATTTATCAAGACCTATAGAATACAGGACACCAACATGAACTCTAAAGTAAACCATGGACTTGGGTGGGAAAACAAGGTTTATCTATTGTAATAAATGTACTGATTTGGTGCAGGACATCAAGAGCAGGGGAGGCTGCATGTGTGTGAGGACAGGAGGTCTATGGGAACCCTGTACTTTCTGTAATTTTGCTCTAAGCCTAAATGTGCTCTAAAAGCAGCATTTTAAATGAAAGAAGTAGATGTATTTTATCCTTCCTTTTCCTCCTGCCCATCTTATAGAGAAGTGACCTCAAAGAATTCTCAGAGTCAATAATTAATTGCAAATACAGTGTAATAGTGTTATCACAGAGCGATGTAAGTGGTATGAAAGGGCATGAAGAAGTAAGTGATCAGCCCTTCTTTGGGACACTGAGAAGGGCTTCCAGGCGACGCGGTGCCTGAGTCTTGTGACTAAGGAATTTCCTAAGCTGAGAAAGGAGATGGTGGTGGTGAGGGGAGAACCTTTGAGGAAGGAGAATAAACACCGGCACAGGCAGGGGCGCTCATGTCCACTGTGGAAGAAGCAGTAATTAGTTCTGTACGGTCACGGCGCAGAATGGGAAGCAGATGAAGCTGGAGAGGAAAACAGGCCTGAGGACGGAAGGCCTTCCACGCTCACTTGAGCAGTTTGAATTTAACCCTGTAGTCATGGGAAGCACTGAAGGTTATTAAGTGGTGATACTGCTAGGATTAAAGTTAGACAAAAAAGATTTAAGAGGAAGCAAGATTAGTAGAAGGGAAACAATGAAATATGCCAAGGGTTATAATCTAGTAAATGTTGGAGCCATCATTCAAATCAGGGCTTATGTGGCTACAAGACTCAGGGGATGTGGACGTGGAGGGGCTTTAGGAGGATGGTGAAGTGAGATAAGACCAGTAAGGAATGCAGCAGCTGATCTGTGGGATGCATAAGAATCACCAAAGAAAACTCTGGCCCCTGCTGAGATTTGTGAACAGAAAGTGTTAACTGCAACAGCTGTTTACTCTTCGTTAGCTGTGCTTAGTGGCCTGGAATAAAAACAGTGAAGGGCAAAGAAGTTTGTAGATTCTTAGAGTGGCTCCTAGTGCAGGGAAGAAGAGGCAAAAATAAGTTGAGGGTGTTGGACAAATGTTGAAGTGATACAACATAGGATTTAGATGGGATGAGGAAAGTGGTAAAGCCAGGAGGGGCTTATGGACTGAGGGAAAAGTGTGAGGGTTATAGGGTTGTTTATACTCTTTTATATCTACTGATTGGTAACTTGACATTGTTGTTAATTTGTACATTAGAGTTGGTGATTTTTTAAAAAGGTTTTACTTATTTATTTTTAGAGAGAGGGGCTAAGGGAGGGAGAAAGAGAGGGAGAGAAATATCAGTGTGTGGTTGCTTCTTGCACACCCTCTACTGGGGTCCTGGATGGCAACCCAGGCGTGTGCCCTGATTGGGAATCAAACCAGTTACCCTTTAGTTTGCAGGCCAACACTCAACCCACTGAGTCACACCAGCCAGGGGTCAGAGTTGGTGATTTCTGAAATGGAGCAGTTCTGGGTATTGAAAAGGATGTGTGTGTGAGTTACGAAGTGGAAATAAAGGTATTTAGAATTACAGAAATAAAGCAAGTGATGGTGAGAGATGGTAGCGAAGAGAAGATGATAATTAGACAATTGCCAAAGACCTGACTGTCTTTGGAGGGTTTGATGGCGGTAATGACAAGGTGAAAGCTCTAAAAGATTCAGGGGAACAGGTTGGGACTAAGAGGTGCAGAGGTTGGAGAAGAAAGTTTGTGAGGAAACAAATGACCAAAGGGGATTCCATTTGGGTGAAGGCCAAAGACGACATTCTCGAGGACCAGGGGGGCTGGGGGCTTGGCCTCTACTTGGCCAAAGCTTCCAAAGGGTGGTTAAAGAATTTTACATTACATTTTTTGATAAGTGCTACAGAAGTAATGAGGCACTAATTTCATTAGTCTATACTAGAGAGGACCTTGAGGTTTTCACGCTATAAATCATCTATCTAAAATTTATCATGTACCTTTAAAATCCTTGCACATGCAGGTGTGGATCAGTTTCAAATTCATTTTTGCCAAAATTTCTATAACCTAGGTATCTTTTTCATTTCCTAATAATAAACTAAAACGGATTTATATATTTCTTATAAATCATGGACAGTTCTATCATTTTCAATATCTGTTTTTGATCCATAGTCTACAATATACTCATATAACTGGCATTCAATAATATCTTTTGATGATCAATGACTGATTTTGTCACAATGAACAGGCAGATTTCTCTTGACAACTGCAAACACCTTAGCAATTTTCAAACAATATAAACATTTTGTTGAAATGTTTTGCATTTTATTGTTTATGACATTAGTCAGAAAGCATTAAGTTGTTATAGCAAGCTGGACACTAATGTTGAAGAGAAGAGGGAGGGTAGACAAGTTAGAACTGTCAAATGAGGTTCCAACAGACTTGTTCTCTCCTGGGACATGCTGACCTGGTCCCATGGGAGATGAAAGTATTTTCCCTTCTCCTTCTCTTAATCAATGCTTGTGGTGAGGTGAGCTGTTACAGTAATGCGAGTTACCTCAGGGATGTTCCTAGTGAAAAGAGTTGAGAACAAGGGACAGTGTTGGTGCTTTGATGGGATAATAAGGAAACACATGACAGGGTGTCCTTTTGTGGAAACATCAGGTCAATAATTCTATTGGACGAATTGCTAGGATTATGTTTCTGATTGCCTATTAAAATCAGAAGTATTTCAATCTCAACCATACCTGACCAAGGAAACAGGGAAAATGTTTATTCCAAACTGATGCTCTTCAGAATGTGTTGATATAAAAAGGTGACATTTTTTGTGCTGACCTTTTAATACAGTACAGCATTGCCCTACCCATAGGACAGCTACATCCCAGTCCAGCAGTGGGAGTTCCTGACACCAGCAGTTAATATCTACCCCACTGCCCCAAAGCAGCAGGAATTGGGAGAGGCCATGACTGTGGAAAACGTTTTGGAGAATAGTAATAAGAGGTGCGTGTAAGCTGCATCTCGGATGATCAGAAAGTAGAGACCACAAGCTTTAACTATGTTTCGAGTAAGTGAACAGGATTATGTTTTAAAGTGGCGGTTAAGTCAGTAAAGATGTGGGATGAATTGGGAAGTTAAAACAAAAGAGGCAAGCAGCTGAGTATACTGATGACTCATTCTGAGCCCCAGTGACGCTGCTCTGTGGGAGGAAGGGGTCTGTCTGATTCTTAGGCCGGTTCTTGATTGCATGGGCTGGCAGGAACGAGCGGCATCATGAACAATGAATGCACTAAGCTTCAGTTTGATTACAGGGCACTCTGTTGTCAGAACAAATCACCGCCACAATGTCAGTTTTAAAGAAGAGATGGTGGATGTCAAAAGTGAGAAATAAATAAGAAGATTCATAGTAGCTTTGCAAAGTTAAAGAGATGCCTTCCTTCTTTCTCTTATAACAGTATGGGTTTTCCTTATTCCTAAATTTAGCAAATATGAAAACAGTGGAAAAATTCAGAATTGCTGATTTAAATGATTAAATCTAAGTTTCATGGCTCTGACCTTTAGTTGGAATCACTAATGGCTTTTTATCTTCTTTTCCAGTTAATTTAAAATAAGACTACCACTGTGAAAAAACTAAAGAAAGTCTGATTCAGAAATGTCTAATTGAACTTCTACCAAAAATTTAAGGAGAATATCTCCTTTATATACTAGTCTACAAACCTCAATATTTAGGAGGTCAATACTAAAACATTTCAAGCTTAGATTTTCTTAATGTTTTTTATCCTATGTATTCTCAGAGTAATATTTTTTTAACATTTCCTTTTACTCTTTTATATTTTATATTCTTCCTGTGAACCAATCATAGCATTCTGTCATATCTGAATTTATTAAGAGCTCTTGAAAAGTAACGGTTTGAGTACTGGTAGAAGTATATATTAATACTTAAAAGAAAAAATTAAACTCTTATACAATGCACAAAAATCAACTCAAAATGGATTAAAGACTTCAATGTAAGACTTGAAACTATAAAACTCCCAAAAGGAAACAGGAGAAAATTTTCTTGACATTGGTCTTAGCACAGACTTCTTGGATTTGACACCAAAAGCACAGGCAACAAATCCTAAAGTCACCAAGTGCGACTACGTCAAATTTAACAACTTCTGCACAGCCAAGGAAACAACTGACAGAGTGACAAGGCAACCTATGAAATGGGGGAAAATATTTGCAAACCATCCATCTGAGAAGTGGTTAATATCCCAAATATATAAGAATCTCTTAAAACTCAATAGCAAAAACCAAATAATTTGATTAGAAATGGGCAAAGGACTTCAACCCTGGCTGGTGTAGCTCAGTGGACTGAGCATGTGACTGTGAACCAAAACATTGCTGATTCAATTCCCACTCAGGGCACATGCCTGGGTTGTAGGCCAGGTCCCCAGGAGGGGGGTGCACAAGAGGCAACCACACAGTGATGTTTCTCTCCCTCCCTTTTTCCTTCCCTTCCCGTCTCTATAAAAATAAATACATAAAATCTTTTTAAAAATGGGCAAAGGACTTCAGTAGATATTTCTCCAAAAAAGATATACAAATGGCCACCACATGTATGAAAGGTGCTCAATATCACCAATTGACAGAAAAATTCAGGTCAATACTACAATTAAATATTGCCTCAAACCTGTTAGGATAGCTATTATTAAAAAAACAAACCAAAGACAGTAAGTAACTACGAGGATGTGGAGAAACTGGAACCCCTACAAACAGTTTGTGAGAATGTAGAATGGTATAATCACTATGAAAAGCAGCATGAAGACTCCTCAAAAAATTAAAAGTAGAGCTACCATATGACCCAGCAATTCCATTTCTGGGTATATGTCCAAAAAAAAATTGAAATGAAAGGGATATCTGTATCCCCATGTTCATTGTAGCATTATTCATGATAACCAAGATATGGAAACAACCCAGATGTACTCAGCAGAGGAAAGGATAAAGAAGATGTGGTGTATACATACAATGAAACATTATTCAGCTTAAAAAAAAAGGAAGCCTACCATTTTTGGCAACATGCATAAACCTAGAGTACCTTATTCTATGTGAAATAGGTTAGTCACAAAAAGACAAGCGCTCTATGATTCTGCTTCTATGTGGTATCTAAAATAGTCAACCTCACAGAAGCAGAGGACAGAATGTTGGTTACCAGGGCCTAAGGGGAGAAGGAAATGGGAAATATTTGCTCAACGGATATAAAGTTTGTTATACAAGGTAAATGAGTTCTAGAGACTTGCTGTATAACATATAGTTAGTAATGTGATATTGTGTACTTTAAAATGTAGAGGACAGTTCTCATGTTAAATGTTCTTACCATGAAATAAACAAACAAACCAAACCAGTAATAACACAAGGAAGTTTTTGGAGGTGCTAGATATGTTCAGTACCTGATGGTAGTGATGATATCATGGGTGTACACACATGTCCAAACACATGAAAATGTGTATTAAATATGTGTAATTCTTGTATATAAATTATATCTCAATAAAGCTTAAAAAAAGTCATGGTTTGGTATTTTAGTTTATATTTCCAATGAAATTGTTCATTGTTTTACAGCGTGTGTTACATAATTAGTTGTATAGTAGTAAAATCAAATTGAAGTGAGTGGTGGTAGAGAAGGGGACTCTAGTTTCCAGGTAACTTTTACTGTACGTATAATTCCTCAGCCTTAGTAGTCCTTTTCCAAACAAAACGGTCCCCCTTTGCTTCTGATTCACTAGAGTCTTTTTTTAGTCCTTTGTCTTTTTCTTAAAATTTATCAGTGAAGTTACAGAAAAAGTAAGTGGGCAGATTGCTGTCCTCTGTGACTTTACACAGGGGAAAGAGAATTCTTGTCCCTCCTTCCACATAGGTTTAGCGTTAGGTCAGTGCCCACCACGCCTATTGACGGTTTTGTCATTGTATCTCCACTCCCACCCCGACCTCGTGCTGAAGAAAATTATTCACGTTAGACTCATGGAGTAATTTGGGCAGGGAATAAAAGGGACTCTTTCCTATTTTCAAAACTAATGTAAAATTCTAGATATTTCTGGATCTAGATCATATCCTTATATGTTATTAGGCTTCAACTTCAGTTCCTGGTCGTTAGAAAACATTACCCTGGCTTTGATGATGGTTGGCCGAGGATCCAAGATGCCCTGCATCTTTCTCAGTGCAGGCACGACGAAAAGATTGCAGGTGACCACGGCCGACACAGGATTCCCTGGAAGTCAACCAAGCAGTTATTTACAGTGTACACATAATAAACTGCCAAATAATTCTGACTACCTATACCTTCAGGTGTCATAGAGGAGTGAAGTGACTACTTGTCTTTCTCTTCGGAATCACCTTAAACCCAAAAGGATGTCAGAATAGAACTGTAGCCAACCAAATGCCACAGAAGGTGCAGACTTTGGGGTTTAGCAGTGAAACTTCTGATGTTTAGAAGCTATTTAACACTATTTATTTCTACTTTTCTGGAGCTATAATTTGAAAGCCATTACTAGTCTTGGTAAGTTTAAGGCCATTTCTACTTGTTATTTTTAAAATTTCCATAGTAATACATGCTCAATACAAAAAAAATTAGAACGTAGGATGAGCATAAATAAATTTATCCATAATCACTTCTACCCAGATATTTCTTTGAATTAAAAGATAAAAATGAGTGATTCAAATGTGAAGGACTTGAAGATAAATACTACATGGACTGAACTGTGTTGTTTTTCCTCTCATTCATTTTTTGATGTCTCAACAGCCCAATGTGACTTTATTTGGAGATGGAACCTTTAGAGAGGTATGAACATTAAATGAGGTCATCAGGGTGAGGCCCTAATTCAGCAGAACCAGTGTCCGTATGAGATGAGAAAGATCAGGAGTGGAGTGCACAGAGGAAAGGCCACGTGAGGGCACAGTGGGAGGCGGCCGTCTGTAAGCCAGGAAGAAAAACCTCAACGGAAGGTAACCTTGCCTGCATCTGGCCTGTAGATGCCCAGCTTCTGAAACTGGGAGGAAATAAATTTCTGTTATCTGTCATCCAGTCATCCAGCCTGTGATATTTTATTATGTCAGCCTGAGCAGATTAATACAAACACCAAGTTCTTTTGGAGTTATAAACAAAACTTGAGACATTCAATTGTACCTCTCCAAGAAGAAATCTGGGGGTGTCATGTACATTAAAGAGGGGAAAGGTGGGTTGTGAAATAAATGACCGAGCAGAGAATAACCAACTTAGTTTCTTGTATGGCATGTTAACTAACCAAGCTGTGTGACCCTAGTCAGTTCCAAACCTTTCTGAGTTTAATGAACTCATTCACAAAACGAAAGGGTGGACTACATGATTCTCAGTAGCCCTTCTGGTTCTAAAATTTTAATTTTATTAATACTTTGATACAGTTGTATGTGAATATATACGCATATACTGGGGATAGATGACGGGCTATTAGATTTTGAGGTTCCCTTGGCCTGGCTAAGTGCTGCTAATTGTATTGTTAAAGGAAAAGGCAATGGTGAATTTAGCCTATTATTAGCTAAAACCATGCCTTTAATTTTGTTCTACCTACAAAAGTAGCTAAGAATAGATTTTTTAAGTTGTAAAAAGTCACGAATGATACTTATTATTTCAACAGAAAAATGAGTTGTCCAATAGAATAGCAGACTCTTAATAAGAATAAATTGCTTTTCCCTTGCCTCCAAATACAAATAGATGGAAATTTTTCTGAAAACAACCCCCCCCAAAGAAACAACAAACCACGCCCCCCAAAACCTCCTGCTATTGTTCATTTAACAATGATTATAGAATTCCTGTAATTGCTATTGCTTTATACAATTACTCTATAAAAATAGGACTGGAAAGGCTGATATAAAAATTGGAAACAGTGGTTATTTAAAAAAAAAGGGAGATTATGGATAACATTTCTTAATGCTTACCAGTATTTCTAATATTTCCATAGTGAACATGTGTTATACAGTAATTTTAAGAAGTTACAAAAATAGCAGGTAGATACACAAAACTTTTGATCTGCGTTAAAACTTACCAAGACTAGTAATGGCTTTAGGTGCATGGCCCTTGGGACAGCAGAAATACAATTCTGAATTTTAAAATCCTTGTACGGGGACCCTCTTTGCTGCTTCTACAATCTGAACAATCTGTTGCTGTCCTCTTTTGATTTATTCAGGCTGAGCAGAGAAAATCTCAAATTAAAGTATCAATTTGAATATAGATTATTTAAAAACTCCTTTGGTAGATCAACACCACTCCCTTGGTAATGGTGAATGAGGCGTCCACTCTAACAGTCTTTTCCATGAGCGCCACAGATGGTCTGCAGTGTCTTCCCAGCAAATTAAAGCTGGAAGGAGGCTCATTTTTCCTGTGTAATGGTTTTCAGACTATCTAAGGATACATTAAAAGCCCTAAAGAGTTCCATACTACAGGCAAATTTTGAAGACTACTTAACTTACATGTCCTCTCTCTCAAATTTCCCTATATGATAGAAATCTAATCTCTTTTATGCTTATATGTTGGAGCTTTAAAAATGATTCTAAAGTTCTACTTTTTTTTTTCTGCCTGCTTTCTTTTCTTTATATCTCTATTTTGAGACTTACTTTTTGTTCTGGCATTTGCATGGGTGATTCTAGGCCCTCTGGCCCCTTGAGTTCAGTACTTCGAGCTGTGGGACGTGGTCAGACTGCTAACTTTGACCACTCTCCCACAGGGAAAAGCAGGTGCCCCAGAAAGACCCAGGGACAGCCAACACTTGGAATGTGCTCTGGAAGAGACTATCTCATCTGACTTCTGCACCAACCCTGTGGGTCAGTACCAGCCCCACCGTAGAGATGAAGAAACACCTTCAGTGAGGTTAAGAGATTTTTCCAAGTAAGGAAAGCTGGGACTTGAGCCCGGGTCTTTCAGACCCAAAGCAAGTGCTCTGACAGGATACTGGTCACCTAAGATTCAAAAAATTTTGGTCATTTTTTTTTTAACAGAAAAAGCAAGATAAAGTATTTCAATTATTCTTACCTGGTAGTGCAAAAATTATTTTTCTTACACCATCAATATCCAAAGTTGCAAATGTTGTTGGCAGTCTGGAGTAAAAAAGAGGTGGTTAGTGACCGCAAAGCAGTACGACAAGTAAGTTCAGTGCTCCGGCTTTCTTGTCATGGGGTCCTCCATATAGAAGGCATACCGTATAAAAATACTTTCCTGTTGATCTTTCAACCTTTATACCCTGCCGTGTTTCCAGAGCATTTAAATTAACTCGTCTTTAGCATCTACTATTTCTAAGCAACCAAACCCCTTCCTTTCCTGTAGCTTATGTCCCCCCTTCCCACCAGCATCATGCATGAGTATACCAGGTCCTGGAGCTTCTCCACCCATGTGGCTAATGGCGTCTTTATTGTTGTTGCTGGAGATTCCAAACAATCATTCTTATTATAAGGAGACTACTTAGTAATACATACCTATCAGATAACTGCCTATTGCTCAATATGAGGGTTTCTCAACCCTTTAAAACGGTACTTAGCAATAAACATAAGAATCTCCCTCCTATGAAAGGAGTGTTTTGAAATGTCAAAATAGATAAAATACCATGACTGGAACAAAATTAAAACACCAGCCATTTAAAAAATATTCAAATTATGCTTCCTCAAGATTCCGACAGGAACTCTTAGAGTGAGGGGTATGGAGAGGAGTGGGTGTGAGAGACATGGAGGAGGTGGGCAGTTAAGAAGAGTGATTTTTTTTCTATTGATTACCCTTTATACAGAATTTTAGCTACAACTGTCAATATATTAATGAAACTTGAGTGATATAGAATCCTTGGGGAATGCTGAAATTTCCATTTAGTTGAAAAGTTTTTTTAAGCACCCAAATCATTTTTATTTTTACTACTTTTTGCAGGTTGGTCATTCAAAAATGGGTCACTCACTCATTATCTTTAGCAATAATATTTTTTGATGATTTATAGCCATATTATGAACTTACTCTACTCTCCTTTTCACTTAAAAACCATAACCCCACACCAGACACTGCTGTGTTTCTACAGTTGCTGTTTCTGACTTTTTCTTTTAGCAGTATTTTTCTGTGACTCCCATTAATGCTAGACTGCCATCATCTCAACCCTTAAAGCTTGGTTTAGGTTTGGGAATCAGACAGTAGTAATAATAGTTATATTGTTGGAATGATAATACTAAATAGCAATAACAAAAGTCAAAAGAAACATCTATGCATGACATCCATTATTTCATTTAATTTTCAAGCAATCTCATGGGGTGACAATTGTGGGATACTGTCACCTCATGAGACTGCTTGAAAATTAAATGGAATTATTCATCCCATTTTATAGATGAGGAAATTAGGATTCGGGGAGATTAAGCAATTTGCCCCAAATCACTTAGCAACTAAAGGAAGAAACAAAGATTTGAACCAAGGTTTGTCTAAGTGTGTGGCTCCTACTTTGACAAGGCTCTCCTCTCGAAGGGCACGCTGTATGTGGACTTTGTGACATCTATTTTTGGCTACTCTGAGGGCTTTTTTGCTTACTTTTTGATTCTTTGCTATATCTAGAAAAATGAGATTAGATTGTCATATTGATTTACGTATAGGTTACTTGGCAATGATTGTTACTGTGTGATGAAAATAATTTTCAAGGTACATTCTCAAAAACAGCTATGTTCACTGCAGATGACCCATAAAAGCTGTGATTGGTAGATCTGGTTGAGAATACTCCAGAGGCTTTTGTTTTTTTAGTATCTCTGTGTCTAAAATGAAAGAAGTTAATTACATTCTGAATGCACTGTATGTGGGAAGAGCAAGGCTAAATTGTTCTTGAGCTTTTATATTTGTTCTTGTTCTACTAAGCAGCAATTACTTTTCAAATCTTATCTTTAGACAAGTATAAAATTCTGGCCAAGTAAAGGAAGCCCATTAAAACTTCCAAACCACTTTATTATAGCAAACTAACACACATAATAAGAGAGGGGAGGGAATGTATAACACTTTCCTTCTACTGTACTTAGAGACAATTTAAATCATCTTTTGCACCTTGCAGACAGGTACTGTGATTTCCCTAAAGGCACTCACTTAAAAAAGATTGCATTACAAGAAAACATTCTGTTTTCATGCATTACTATCACAAGTTTCCTATTGCCGTACTGCAAAGTTTTTTTTTCTAAGCTCTGGGAAGCCATTTCCTTGGAACTTAGCACTTACTGTTCAATTGTCTTGAGATATGACTACAACAGAATTTCTATAGTGACTGTAGTCACAAAGGGCTATATGACTAAGTGAGTAGAATAAGCATTAGGATCTGATGAACTCCTAAAGTTGAGGCAAGTGATAAATAAAAGACTGAAAATAAAGAGTACCAAAATTATACATCATAGGTGCCGAGAGTAATTTAAATGATACATATTGCACAAATAATTCTCTTCTAGCAGTGAGGGCAAGTAGTCTCAGCTTCTATCTCACTGCAAGGGGAATAATCAATGTAATTTTAGGGATTAGTTAGAAGCACACTGACATGCATTTGGGATGTCCTCTGTATTCTATCAAATTAGTACTGCTCATAGAGAGGGAAATAAAAAAGCCTGTGTACCCATACCATAGCAATATTTGCTTAAGATAAAATATTCTTAGTAAGAATGATCCAAATCTGATATTTCAATAATAAAAGAACATTGTCAGTGGCAGCCATACTGGGGCAACTACAGAAATAAAACACCAAGAATTCTAAAGTCTATCGAGTTGTGAAGAGAGTTTTAGGGATAATATTAACCTCATACTTAAATGGCAAAATCATGGAGGTAAAGCCTGATCTTGATCCCAGAACCGACATGAGTAAGCAATAAGTCAGGGGGATTTTTAAGGGCTAGACTGACACTTAAGAAAAGCTTCTGGAATATGCTAATAGTTCCCATAGCTCATAACAACCGGTAAGTCTCACCTCTCCTCTCTCCGGGTTCCTATGAGCACCCATCAGAGTATATTTCTGAACTAGAGCATCACTACTGCTGTCCCTGACAGCATGAAGGTGTGCTGGAAAGCCCATCCATGCACTGAGCCTTTGAATAGGGAATGAAAGTGGTCTGAGTAGCCAGATTATTGCTCGAAGACATGTCCACAAAGATTTCATCAACACCAACATTTGGCATTCTTTGAGGATTTACAATTGATTACAGAACCTCTATCAGTCATTCCTTAAAGAGTTACTAGTTTTTAGGATATGTGAAAGACCTTGGTGTGTGGTTATTTTTCTTCCCTCCTGGGAGGCAGTAAGAAGCAGTATGTAATCCTACTTACAAAGTACTCAGAAAAAAGGAAAAAAAGGTGAATCTGAATTTCATCGAGGCTTTAGACCTTATTTCCAATCTATAGAATATCCTGGAAAGAGTGGAACAAATTAAACACCGCCACAAGGAAACAATCAGCTAAATCCATTCCTTTAGGACAAATGATTCGGTTTCCTCACCAAGTTGCCTGACAAAAAAAGGAGGGGGCAATAAATATGCTTTAACAGCTAAATACCATGAGTGAACTAACTTGAATTCTAATTCAAACAAAACAATTATGAGAAGGCATTCTTTTTCCTAACATGCAGGAGAATTTTGAATATGATGAGGGTATTAGATATTAACATATTCTTATTTTATTAGGTGAGGTAATACCATTGTGATTACACAGGGGAACACTGCTGTTGTTGCTGTTATTATTTGAGATGTATATGAAAATGAAATTTCTAGAATTTGCTTTAAAATAATCCAGCCCTCTGTCCCCCCAAAAAGGTGAGGGATGAGGCTGATAAAACAATTATGAAAAAATGTTGATAGTTACAGAAGCTGGGTGTGGGTTCATGGGGGGTTCGCTGTACTCCCTACTTTTGTATATGTTTGAGTTTTTTCATATTAAAAGAGTTTTTAAAGAGAGACAAAGAATTAGTATGGAGAGGGAGAAAAAGAGAAAGAGAAACAGACATGGAAATTAAAAAGAAAAAGGTTGGGAAAGTTGCTTTGCTTTATTTATAGCAAACTCAGTGATTCATAAGGAAGATGAATTCCCATTTCAGATAGGAGCTACACTTGTGCAAAGACTTTTACTACTATAATATTTCTTTTATTAGAATATATAATCCATAATAGAATATATAAAAAGAAAGCATTTATAGCTTTGTTAGTCAAAGCAAGCCAAGCCAACCCCATAGATGAGATAATAAGATTATTTTCATACCCTGGTTTCATAAAAACCCTGCCAAAATGGATCTGGGCGTGAAGATCGATGTCCAGCACCTGCTTGAGATAGTCCTGCAAATATAAAAATAATCACTTTACTTTTAGACACATTCTAATACCGGACTTTCAAAACTTCAAATGAAGACAAAATGAATTTATAAGATTAAAATAAAAAAAAAATCTTATTTTAGTGAAGTTGACTTGCTTAAGACAAATATCCCTTCATTCCTCAGTCCTTCATTTATTCATTCAATATATATTTACTGAGCACTTGTTGTATGCTGAGTACCAACCTAGGTACAGGGGATAGAGCCTTGAGCAAAAGAGACAATGTTCCCATCCTCATAAAAAGTACATCCTAGTAGCAGCACTTAGATAATAAACCAAATAAGTACATTAACATGTAAAGCATTACTTGATAGGTTATTGTCTCTTTTTTTCACAAAAAATTTTTATTGTATTTTTTTCCATTACCATTTATTCTCCTTATACCTTCTTCCACCTCTCTCTCTTAAGACAGAATTTTATGCCCAAGAAAGGATGTTAAGGGAAGTGACCTGTATGCATCCTATACTAATCCGCTTAATGGATTTAAAATAATGTACATTCCTTCAGGAGAGTCTTGGATGTTACCTGCAGATGGTCAATTCTAATTAAACCAACAAAAATGAAAAATAGGATGGTGCTTTAAACAGAGAGCAAAGGGTGTTTAACTGTCAGCACAATTGCCAATGAAAACAAACCAACCTAAGGTTATGGCCAACCCAAAGTTAACTGACAGAACCTGATCTTTAGAAATGAAGGCAACACTGCCCTGCAGTTTGCTTTGCAAACAGAAAGAAAATAAAGCTGCAGTCCTTAAAATTTCTCAACCTCTTGATCAGTTGTTGAATTTCTTGTTCCATAATCCAAGGGTGAGTCTAGTAATCTAGTAAAATTTTAAATATTTCACAAGCTATTAGTCACTATATTTTTAAAATTAGTTCCCTTCTCTCCATCTGCACAGCTTCAGCCAACATCTCACCTGGAGTATTGAAGCAGATCTCTCTGCCAGCAGTACTGCCCTCCTCCATCATCCCCTGCCCCCTCCCCCCACGCCCCGCAGTAAGAGGTATCCCCTGAAAACAATTCTCATCAAGTCACTAAATAATTCTTCTAGTTACTTAAAGAACAAGTATAAATGACCCATGGACACGGGGCAACAGGGTGGGGACTGACTGGGAGAGGGGGTGGGGGAGGGTGGGGGAGTGGGCAGAGCAGGGGAGAGCAACGGGACAGTCAGGACAACTCTAATAGAACAACAATAAAAAAAGAACTTGCTGGTTTCCAGGAAGAAGCCTCATCTTTTAAATACCACCTGTGATTCTTGTATTTTCCAGTTCTCATTCACCAATCATTGCTCTCATCCGGCAATCCTCTTCCCACCCAGTCCCATTCCTCAGTCAATCCATCCGTCCATGAATCTCAATCTACCTCCTTCTCTCCCTCCCAGCAAGACTATAAAGTTTTCAGTTTTTAAAGCTTTCTTGCCTCCAGTTTTTCAAAATATTCTTCCTTCTGTCTGGAATACTTTTTTGTACCATTCCCTTCCTTCCACCCCACCCTCATCTGAGTGTCATTCATCTCAGCCTCCCCTCAATTTCTGGGCTGGATGATAGGTTATTTACTTTATTTTTGAGGCTATCTTATTAGATGCAATAAATTTAGAAATGTTATATTTTCCTGATGGACTGATCAATTTACATATATGGAATGTCCCTCCTAATACCTAATAATCTTTTTTATCCCCCTTTTCTATGATATCAATATAGCCGCACCAACTTTCATTGTAATTTTTCCTTTCAACTAGCTGTGTTCTAAATTAAAGGTGTGTTTGTAAGTATCACACAATTCATTGCTTATTTAAATGCAGAATGCTGAATTACTGCTATATTTGGGTTTAAAACTATCACCTTACTATTTTTTTTCTATTCGTCACTTTTGTTTTTATTTCCTTTTCTTCTTCTTTCATTCCTTCTTTTGGATTTACCAATTTTTTTGTTATTTTAATTTCTTTCTCTTCTATTAGCTTGTTAGTTACACAATCTTTTATTGTTATTTTAGAGATTACAATATGTATTCTTGACTTATCACAGTCTACCATAATTTGGTATTTTTATCACTTCCCAGACAACACAAGAAATTTAAAACAAATTAACTCCACTTATTCCTCTCTGCTTTTTGCACTATAATGTACCACAAATTCTGTATACATTTTAAATATCATATGTATCTTTTCTGTATATACTATACAGATGATATATACTCCATATTTGTTTTATATTTAAAACCTCTCACGGCATTACTATTTTATATGATCAATACTCATTTATGTTTATCTACATATTAACCCTTTCTTTTTTTCTTTTGTTCTCCAGTCTTTTCTGAATTTCCATGCTTCCATATCTTTCTGCCTAAAAAACTTGCTTTAGTGTAGGTCTGCTCAGTGTTTGTTTGACTAAAAGTGTTTTTATCTTAATTTTGAAGGAAATTTTTGCTGGATACACAGGATTCCACACAGGCAGTTATTTTTCTTTAGCACTTTACAAATGCCATTCCAGTGTTTTCTGAGTTCTATCCTTTCTGTTTAAATCACTTCTGCTAGTTTCATTGTTGGTCATTTGAAGGAAATGTTCCCTTTGTTAAGATTTTCTCTGTCCTTGGCTTTCAGTAGTTTTGATATAATCCCTTAAGTATGGTTTCTTCGTATTTATTCTACTTGAGATTAGCAGAGCTCCTTGAATTTCTGGCTTGATAGCTTTTGTTGGTTTTGGAAAACTCTGCCAATATCTCATAAATATTGCTTCTGCTTACTCTCCTTTCCTTCTGAGACTCCAATTGCAGATATGTAAGACCTTTCTCCATACCCCATAAGTTTTTTATGTTTCTTTCGTCTGTTTTCTAAAATTTTCATTTAATTGTTATGAGTAGATTCTATTCTACTGAAATTCTTCACTTTGTCATTTCTTTTTATTAAACATTAATTGCAGTGTTTCAAAGACCATGTTTTTTAAAGGTTTTTCTCTTTTCTTTTCCTTTCTTAGTTGCTGGTCATTTTGGCTGGTAATTTAAAAAAACTGAAGTCCAAACATTAGATATGGAAAAAAATTGAAGAGGCTCTGGATGATGATACATTCCCCCAGGAAGGGTTTAATTTCTTCTGCCAGTTAGGTAAGGTAAACTAAGATTACCTTGATATAATCAGAGATCCAGGTAATTTGAGGGAGGATTTTAGTCTTTTTGAAAGTTTGCCCCTATTCTTAGAGCACAGTCCTCAAGGGTTTAAAATGAAAGCCTGAGATATTTGCCAAGGCCCCGCCTGCACGGCAGGATCGGAACCTCTATGACAGTGAAAAATTCTGTTTACTTTATTAATTTATTAGCTACTCTTTTATGCTTGGCTTCTTGGCTCCCTGCACCATTATACCTCCCCTATTTCCCTGGCTTAGGAGTTAGTAGTGGGCTGACCAAGTAGTTAATTTAGTTTTTTCCATGTGATGGCTCTAGGAATGCTTGGTTCGCTTTAACTTCACTTGAAATAATTTTGTTAAGACTGTATTGTGATAGCTCTCATATCAGTGTGCGTTAAAAAACTTATCAAAACTGAATTTTTGTGGAGCCATTTTAATATTGAAGATGGAAGAAGATATGCAACATTTTCAGTGTATTACGCTTTATTATTTCAAGAAAGGTAAAAAAGCAACTGAAATGCAAAAAAAGATGTATGCAGTGTATGGAGAAGGTGCTGTGACTGGTCGAACAAGTCAAAGGTGGTTTGTGAAGCTTCGTGGCACTATTGACATTTAGTCAGATAATATGATGTTTAGTAGCACCCTTGGCCTCTACCTACTAGGAGCCAATATTGGAAGATAGCTGACATACTCAAAATATCCAAATCAATAAAGTTATTGGTGAGAATGAAAAATGTGCCTTTTATTTTATGGGAAGACCTAAATGGTCTTTTTGGTCAACCCAGTGCCTTGAAGAAAACCATGGTGAAAAATTTCAGTGTTAGTTCTCTGGTTTATTTTTTTCTGATATCTTTTCCTTTACCTTTTCCTCTTTAAAAATATTAAAAAATATTTATTTTTAATAGACTTTATTTATTTTTAGAGAGAGGGAGACAGAGAGAGACAGAGAGAGAAATATCAATTGGTTGTCTCTTGTATGCGCCTGACTGGGGACCAAACCCACAACCCAGCATGTGCCCTGACTGGGAGTTGAACTGGCAACCTTTTGCATTGCGGGATGACACCCAAGCAACTGAGCCACACAGGTCAAGGCTAAAAAAATTTTTAATATAGCTTTTATAGTTGTTTTTGGTGGGAGAGCTGATCCAAATAAGCCACCCCACAGAGCAAGAGCAGAAACATCCAGACCTTTCTCATGCGTTCCTGTACTACTATGTCCTTCAGGCACCCCACACTTAGGTTATACTATAATTCCCTGATAACTGACAGATATCCTTTATTGGAATAGAATCTGAGAAGAGGAACCCTGCACATTATATCTCCAATGAAACCCTAGTGAGTAGCACATGACTTTCATTCATTCGTTAGTTCTACAAATATTTTTGAATATCCATTATGTATCATGAATTCTATATGTGCTAGAGATTTAATGATGAACAAAAGAGACATGGTCACTGACACAAAGATGTTCTGTTATATTTTACCGAGGGAGACAGCTTACAATAAGTAAACAAACAAAGAAGATAATTAATATAGTGTGGTACATGCTATAAAGGAAATGAAAAGGTACTGGGGTAGAGAATAATGTGGTGGGGTGGAGAATAAGAAAAGGCCATTTTAAAAGAGGTGGTTAGGATGAGTAGGATTCAGTCATGTGAAGTGTGGAGGAATGAGAATTCCAGGCAGAGGGAAGTACATCCAAAGCTTCTAAAGCAGTGAAGAGTGCCTACAACTGAAAAGACAAGGTAGTGAATGAGTAGAAAAGCAAAGGGTGAGTCTGGATTGACAGAAAGTGGTCATGTCTGCGGGGTCTAAAGGTTATGAGACAGTTTGGAAAAGAGA